CCCTTGTCCTCCGCCGCCATGGGGGATCAATGGTCGCTGGAATTCAGTACTTTCGGGTTCAGAGTTGCGTAATACCGTTTAAGGTTTCTTCTGGTTTACCTCGTATGTGTGTGTGTTTGTACGATCTGTCTATCGGAACTCGGGCAATCAAATCTGTCATATTCACCCAGCCCCGAACCTCTGCACTCTCTTCGTCTCATTCCCTCCCCCAATCCCCGTATTTCCGATTGCTTTTTTAATTCTTTATTTTCCATTTTTGATCTATTGACTGCGGTTATTTTGATGCCGTTGTCCATTATACTACACCTATCCTAGCTGTTTTGTTTCAGCGGCCTGTTCGAGTGTGTGTGAGAGAGACAGAGAGAGCTGCAGGCACCGTGTTGTCTCGCTTTACTCCGGCCTCGATACAGTGACGAATTAAGGTAATCCTCGTGGTTGGGAAGTTGCCCCATTTAGGGGGGATAAAATCCCCGAGATCTACCACCGGTTCTGTCCCAACTATGGCTGCATACACGAAATCTTCGTCAGCTGGTGGAACACTGTCACACATACGACGGGATTAGTAGTGATGAAGCTGTGATAAAATCTAACTAAAATGGTCGATGGTTGAGACTTCTTCATTCGGCTATACGGGAGTGATGGGCATTCATGATCAATCAACTTTCCCAACATTCACATCACCGGCTTCAATTTTCGGTCTATCTCTCCGAATAGCAGTACCTAACATTCCTCGAACAGCTGGAAAGTGGACACTGTCAGTTAATTTTGTTGACTCCTGAATGCTGCTACGTCATGTCACGGAACAGGCGTCACATCGTTTCTAACAACCTGGAGTGTTTAGCACGTGTCTAAATCATCCGAGGTTGAATGCAGTAATGATTGCAATCAGAGAATAACCAGATCTGCTGAATACATTACTTGGAATTCCGCAACACCGGGTGACTTTTGGATAGAAAGCTCTTTCAGAGCCAGTCCATTGAAGAATCAATCATCAGCGAAATACAGTGA